TCTGAATTCCTAATGGTCAGTCCGGGACGGCCTACGGAAGCTAAAACGTCACTGTAGCGCGTTGCCTTTATCTCTTTTTTTTCGTGCTGCTGTGAGTGAATGCGCGGATTCATTTTGTCGAACTACACCGGCTTGACTTTAATTTTGAAATGTCGAAAAAACTTAAGCACATCGAAGTCGGGAATTGCCTATAAGCTCTAGCCTTTATGATATTGCTATTATTGGCGCATATCTTGGACACATGCGAGTGACCCTACTTCGCTGTATTTACATTTGTTTAACATTTCAAAATTAAATACTAACCGGTATACATTCGGATATTCAATATCGCTCAATATCGATGACCATTAGAAAGCCTAAATTCGTCTATGTTATGGAGGTGCCCGCCTATTACGGATGGATGATTTCACTTTCCAATTGCTTATACGTTGGCAGAGCTCATCTACATGTTACTTACTTTTTACATCATATAGATCGCTGTGTATGTACACTTTTAGTACACGTCAGGCCACTGCAGAGTAAACGCGGAGGTATATACATCGCACCGACTTCTCAGGGAGTAATTTTTTTGAAAAAAAAAAATAATAATAATAATAATAATAATAATAATAATAACAAGTGAAATGAATAAAATGTTGTAAGTGATTGTGTGTTGCATGTCATAGTGCGCAAAATGCTCGTGTTAGACGACGAATCCGGTGAAAGTTCCCACGACGATGAAGACATGGATGCAATAAACTATCAACAATTGCAGACTTTGAAGAGCTTGGTAAATAAAAATACCGGAAGAGGGAAATATTATTATTTTCGTCAACTTCATCCTTTGATAAGTGACTGGCAGGGCGAATTTCCGAATCTCCGAGACACTTTTAGCGAGGAAAAAATCGACGAACTTCTCTGCGATACGATAAATTACACGATTCATCGAGGTCAACAGGACGAAGGAGAAGCGATCATCGATTTCTTGATCAAGAGTGGCTACAGGGACGAGCCAAAACTCGATAAAAACCACGAGCCATCGCTGCTTCGCGACACACCGATACACCACGCGCACGAACGCAACCTGCCCTACACAGACGTCATCCGTAAGCTCTTTAGAATATACGACCGCCTCGACTGCAATTACGTCGACGAGTTTTGGGGTTACACGCATTTTCACGTGGCCTGCAGGTACGGCCTCGTCGACGTCTGCGAGGAATTTCTCGACTGCGGCCGGGTCGATCCCAACGAGTGCGTCGCGCGTTTGACGGGCGACGCGCCGCTTCACGTGGCCGCGAGGTACCGCCAAAGGGAGGTGATCGTGACGCTGCTGAGGAGAGGCGCCGATCCTAATCTGGGCCGCGCCTACGACTCGACTCCTCTGCACGTTATCTGCCAGGGAAACAGCGACGACGGCGACGACTTGGCCAAGGTGTTCTTCGAGACGTGCGACGACACGAGGCAGTGGGTAGAGGTCGACGCCCGGAACAAGTGGGGCAACACGCCCCTGCACTTGGCCACCAAATACGGCCGCAAGAAGCTGGTCGCGTTGCTTCTGGGACGCGGCGCGAATCCCAATTCGGCCGACGCGAAGGGACGGACGCCTCTGCGCATCTGCCTCACCAAGAGAGATCCAAATCTGTTCCAGGTATTCTTCCGGATCAACGACGAGTCGATGCGGTCGGTGCGCGTCAACGAGATGTGGCAGGAGCCGGAGCAGGGTCGGAGCATGACACCGCTGCAGTGGGCCGTGGCGAATCTCGTGCCGTACCAGGTGGACGTGCTCCTATCTCACGGCGCCGATCTGTCGAGCTTCGTTTTTCCCAGCGTGATTCACTTCGCCGAGAGCCGATCGACGCTGTTGCTCGAAGATTTTTGGCCTACCGGTACGAAGTTCAGACGAGCTTTCGCTCTTCTCGCCATCGTCGAGCGCCTACAAGCGAGAGGATACGAGCTGGCACCGAGCGACGCCCTGACGATCATGAAATTTTTCTCCAGGTGGCAACTGTTCGACAAGCCGGTGGGTCTCGAAAAATTTCGCGAAGCCATGAAGATCGTCTCCAAGTGGATCGGTTGGTTCGACAGGTGGGCGTATCTGAAGAAACGCTGGTACGACGACGAGGAGTTCGCCAGCGAGGCGGACAAGTTGATGGTGACGGAGGATCTGTCGCTCTACGACTTGATCCGGTTGCGACCCGAGGAGGCGGCGAAACGAATCACGTGCAACGAGTACTACCACTTCGCGTACGAGACGCGCTTACCCAGAAAGCACACGACGACTTGCGCCAATCACATGTGCGAAAAGATGTCGAGAAGATTTTTCCGTCGATGGGCGCTGAATGCCATCTGGGAGATGACGCGTTACCGATTACCGATCGTTTGCTGCGATATCGTCGTCAGCAAGCTGCAGAACGAAGATTTGATGAATATTTGCTTGGCCAATGGACGCTATAGTTGGTGGTGGCGGGTCAAAAACCATCGTACCACAGTGAGATTTTGTTCGTTGTTATTGAATTTTGCAATTTGTGTATTTAAGTCTAGTAGTAGTCGAGTAGAGATAATCGTAGGCCTGATTTATTATCCGTTGATATTATCAATCACCGCAAAAGCATTGTCGTTAAACTTTGCAGATTATCTATATGGTACAAGTATAACCATAAATATGCTTTATTATACGTTGATTTTATTTTTTGTCTTATGCGTCTGATAAATAAATTTAAGTACATGAGTTCTGATTTCCTTTTTGATGTGCCCACGATGATTTGACGTGAAAAATCTCAAATTGCGTATTTATTAGCCGCAACACCTCATCCAGACCAAAGATATCTGTAAATATATGAAAAAAAACTATTTAAAACAATTATGATGTGAACCAATTCGAAAAATTATATGCAGGATGTATCAATTGAGAGAGTTTCCAATAATTTTAAATCATGTAGAAAATATTTATTGATTGAAATAAAATTTTTGAATGATCATTTGTTACCGATCACGTCTTTCTTAGTAGAAATAATCCGTTCGTCAGCAAATTTATCAATATCTTTCACTAGCAATGTTTTATCGATTCAGCGTATTATTACGTGATGTTTATCAAAAATTAAGTCGTCAAGCAAACGTTCACCCCATTCACAGATCCAAAGGAAGGAACTATTCAAAGCAGATTACTGTAATGAGTTCGACACACTCGTATAAGCAAATGAACTAAGACCTTAATAAAAAATTATTAATACATTATCGTGATATCAAAATTATTTTACAGTTAAGTCGTCTATCGCATGTACAAAGAATTAGATCGAATAGACATTTTCTGAAATTGATCGAAAATATTTCGAAAGTCAATATTTTCTAGAATTTACTTATAGTATTTGCTATTCAAGGAAGTTCGTATTTTATGGTGAGTTTGAGACTTGATAAAGAGATAAAAAGTATGCAAATTTGTTAGGAGATACGTTAGGAGTGCATTCGGGCGAATGACTTTAATGAACGGTGTAAAAATGTAATCGTCATGCGTGTATACTAAAATATTGCCGATCTTTTATAATGGTTTATGATCTTGATATTTATTAACAAAAGGTGTTATCAGAATTTCTTGTTCTTTGCAACATTTTTAGATTAATTCTTCGAATAAGCATTCCCGCATTTGCCAAGCCTTCTGTCAGTTTTTATTAATCCCTGCAAGGATAAAACATTGAATTAAATTCTTTCATAGTAAACTTGTACAGTTACATAATATTGAGAAATGAAATTTAATGACTTACTGTTATTTTAAGTTTAGATTTCATTGTTCTAATTTCAAACACTTGTGATCCTGTGATATATACTGAGCTTCAAGTTTTTCGATACTTATTCCATGGAATCTTGCGGAATCAATACCACACTATTTATCTTTACAACTGCTCTTCTGAAGTACTCTAAACCATAATATTTATATAATATTTAAATTATGAAATATACTAAAATAAAAATGATAAAAAAATTAATTATAAACTTTGATTAAGGGCTCATCATTAAGTTTATCGCTTAACACATTTTTCAAACCTACATACCAGTTGTTAACTAGTTCATAATTTGGAGGATGATTCAAGTATATAGATAAAAATTGTATATTTTTTAAGAAGAAAAATTTACCAAGAAAGTATGTTATTGTCTGATTTGGTAATAGATCTCTCCAGTCGTACACCTAATTCCATTGATCTAACATTTGTTGATGAGTATAATTCTTAAATATGTTTGTCCATACTTTATACAATATGTTTGTGAAGAAAAGCAACAAAAGTAAATGCGAATACAAGAGCACATGGTTGTAAAACAGACCTTTTATCATCTGAAGGATGCCAAAGTGTAAGAGCATTTCTAAGTTTTCTCTTAATCATTGCATACATAGTACATGTATGTAGTATGTTACCTGTAAAAGGTAAAGAAATATAAATATTTTGAATTGAATATAAAGTTAACAATGTAAAATAAATCACTTAATTCATATAATGTTAGATTTACCTATGTACTTATTGCCATGAATGAATGATCATATATGTTTACGGGCATCATGACACGATCAGTCTTCATTCAGCCATAAAACTTGTTCAAAATAGCTAAACTGATGAGCTGACTAACTGCTTAGCTGATAACTGCTTTATTATGTATCTCACAAATCTTGTTTCTATTCATTAGATATTTATTATTTCTTAAAATTTGAATAAATAAACATTCAATACTCACAAGTCAATAATAACCATAGATGAAGCTACATAATGAAAGGGTACATTGTCTATAACCAGATTCCATTTTTCTGCTTCATTAGTCAATTTTGTCAATATTATATGAAAAAGATACTCTAAAATCTTGTATGATAAAATGGGTACCTGAAGCTTTTCAAAATAAACTTAACTTTTTGGTTGGTGCTGAATCTACTTCCTAAATTAAAAATTATTATACTTCATATATGATATTTCATGATAAATAAATATTTTAAATTGAATATTAAATTTGAATTAATTATAAAATCTTTGTACTTACTGTTTTGCAACTTTTACAGGTGACATCCATGATTCCAAACTAATTAATCATAAGAAGCAGTAGATCGTCTTTGATGGTAAATAGATTCTTGTACTGAAATTTCTTTCCATTCTGTAAATAAAGTGGTAATTTGAGCTGTAACAATGGGCTTCAATGAGAAAAACATTTCTTGTATTTTGGCATTACACTATATACTGGATCTCTTGATCTGAAAAATTTAGATTCCTCGTAGTAGTCCTTTCTTGTAAATCCAGGCCTTTGTTGTTTCATTCAAATTCATAAGATCTGGATGATTGGGAAATTGTTTTTCTATCGCAGCAACAACACTTTCTTTATTGTCATGATCAGAAATGTATTTTTTATATGTTTTGAATTCAAGCAGAATATCATGAACTGAAAGATCAATTTCATCCATGTCTTTTGTTGCTGCTACTAAAGTTCTGTAATTTTTTATAGAAAATGTTATAATAGTCAAATTTAATATAAGTTTATTTAACAAGAAATCACTATTACCTTAGAGCACCGAGTTACTCAGTTGTTTATGTAGACACTTTACGCGCAGATAATTCCACAAAACTGTCTGCTAGTGACAGCAAAACAAGTCAGCAGTGCCGGTGCACTGGCCAGTAAAACAAAGAGAGAGAGGTTACCGGGTGCAGGAATAACGCGCGGTTGTGTGTAGTAAAGTAAGGTCCAAACGCGAAATATTTTTAACATTCGCGTTGATTTAAAAATCAATCTGGAGAAGATAATTTTCATTTGGAGCCTACGAATAGTGAATCAGCCTCAGATAATGGTGATTATATATTTATCATATTTTCCTTTTATTTATGGTTAGAATGATTTTTTTTCTATGAAATTCAATCGAGCATATATAACTTTTTTATTTTACAGATATCCTTAGCTTGGACAACGATTTACGGTTTTCGGACAATGAGCAGACTATAACTAATTGCAGCGAAACTACTTCATCAACGTCTCTTGCGACGAGTAATTCTATAAAGAAGAAAAGAAGGAGAAGATTGCCAAGAAAATGTGAGTATAAAATAATACATTTATTGACCAATTTTAAAAATCATTTAAAAAAAGTAGGGTCCGTGTTCACTAACCGAGTCTCATTATTGCTTGTGTTAGTGCGTGCAAATGGTTTTTGAAAAAGTCGGGTTCATGTACAATGAACCGATTCAAATTTTCGATCAAGTATAAATGTTGCACGACTGTTAATTAATTATATACAATTAATGCAAATAATTATTTCACAATTAGTTATTTCACAATTAATTATTTTACACTTGAAAGCGGTGTGGACCACATTTTTGTGTCTACACGGTAAAGCTATACAATATTTTTACGTCTTGAATAATTACAGATAAACTTACATTATGCACATTTAATTTTTTTATAATGTAATGATTATTATTTATACTTACAGGATGCGAAATGCAACCCTGCAGAGCGCGACTTTGTGTTCCATGCATCAGGCGCTTGAACAAAAGGAAATGTCCACATTGCTCAACTCGCATCGGCAATTATCTCCCTCCAGATTTGATGGAAGGAGAAAATTGGGAAAACGAGATGGAAACGGAGCAGCCGGAAAACTCGAACGGAGTGGCATAAGTGAGCATTTGCTTCATCTTTACAACACAAATATAAATTTAAAACTTGTTTCGTTTGCAGGTCAAGGAATCGACAGTAGCAACTTCATCGCGTTATAAACGCAATGTTTATAAAGACATTTAATAAAATAACACATGACATTAAAAAAAATTGATGTTTTCGAGCTTTTTTGTAATATCTTTTAAAATAAATTACTGCATTATTTTTCACTGGAAATTGTGATTATATTGATTTATTCCCTTTTTCACTAACTTACGTTTCGTACTGTCTTTAAATGTAATTATAATTTTTAATGGACTTAAAATATGTGCCTTTTAAAAATATCAATTTGAAATTCAACAGTCAAAATTTTTCTTGAGTGCATGAAGTCTTTCAAGACTTATTGCACATAAGTTATGAACGGAAAGATTCTCGCACAATCGAGTCTTCTTAGCAAGTTTGGCTCCGTGCACAAATGTATCGATTTAAAGTTCGTGCGAAACTTGAGAGTTTTACGCTTATGTTCTGCCAGGTACGAGCCAGTTCTTGTGTACATCTTTCAATAAACTCTAATTTTTCTTTGCGATTCTCCCACACACTTGTCGGTAAATATAATCAGTAGACAGCTATTGAAAGATTCATTGCATTGGTATGCGACAACTTTTGAAATGAAATATGTTGCCAATAAAATATTCTACAATCGTATAAACGATATCTTTATGCCAGGATTGGATTCAATAGCAGGGCATTTTGCGACTTATGAACAGATAAATCAGTAACGCGATTGTAAACAATATAATCATAAACGATTTCGGATCGTCTCTCGACACACTGATCATGTTAGATTAAAAACAAATTAGTTTGAATGTAGTCTTTTCCGACGAAGCAACCCATAAAACCAAGAGATAAATTTAACTCGATTTCTTTGGTACTAAATAAACTGATCCATCGTTTAATTTAGGCATCAAAATGGTCAAAATTGATACGAAACCCGAGAAAAGTGTCTCAAAGAATAATTTAAGTGAACACGACATTATTGTTTCGAACGACAAACAAAACGTTTATGATATTTGCCAGCAGGAATTTACACTAGAGTCAAGCATGATAACACACCGAGAAAAAATTCACAATGAACAAAAAATTTTTGCATGTGACAAGTGCGAGAAAAAATTTGAGTTTAGAAGTCATTTGAGTAGACACCAAATATCAGAACACAAAGGACGCAATGATTTTTCATGTGACCAGTGCAAGAAGAAATTTGTGAAAAAATCGAGTTTGTTCACGCACCAAAAATTGGTACACAAAGATCGCGAAGATTACTCATGCAATAAATGCGAGAGGAAATTTGAAAACATATCAACTTTACTTAAGCACAAGAAAATATTTCACGAAGTTTTCAAAGACTACTTATGTGAAAAGTGTGCCAAGAGATTTGCAAGTAAGCAGAGTTTACTCTCTCACGTAAAAACAGTCCATAAGAGTTCCAAAGACTTTGCAGGTGACGAGAGTACGAACAAATTTGATCGAAATTCGACTTTGCTTCTCCACCAAAATACAGTCCATGAAAGCCGCCAAGAATACCCCTGCAACAAGTGTGAAAAAAAATTCGGATATAAATTTAATTTACTCGCACACCAAAAGATGGTACACGAAGGTCGCAAAGATTCAGCATGCGACATTTGCGGATCGAAATTCGCACGCAAACAGTATGTGCTTTTGCACAAGAAGACAGTCCACGAAGGTCGCAAAGATAACACATGTGACAAGTGCGAAAAAAAATTTGGACTGAAACATCATTTGCTCATGCACCAAAGAACAGTACACGATGGATGCAAAAATTATGCATGTGACGAGTGTGGGAAGAAATTTACACAAAAACCGAACTTACTTTACCACCGAGCGACGGTACACAACAATCGCAAAGATTACGCTTGTGACTAAATGCGAGAAAAATTTTGGACGCAAACTGTATTTGATCAGGCACCAAAGGACAATACATGAAGGTCGCAGAGATTTCGCATGTGACAAATGCGAGAAGAAATTTGGACAAAAACCGCATTTGCTCCAGCACCAAAAAATAGTCCATAAAGGTCTCTGATATGTCCAACGCGAAAAATGCGTGTAAAAATCATGCACTTCATCGAATTGTAGTTGACATCTGAATTTTTTTTTAAAATAACGTTTATAATAAATTCGATAAACTTTTGGCCGACAAACGCAATATGATTCCTGATAATTGATTTGCACAAAAAGGCGAAGTTTTGGCATTGGAATGCGCAAAGAGATGTGCAAAATAAGAATTCATTGGACATTGAAGATGTTGACTTACAAAACGAATCTCCTAACAAATTCGCATACTTTATATCTCTTTATCAAGTCTTAAACTCACCGTAAAATACGAACTTCCTTAAATAGCAAAGACTAGAAATAAATTCTAGAAAATATTGACTTTCGAACTATTTTTGATCAATTTCAGAAAATGACTATTCGATCTAACTTTTTGTACATGGGATAGACGACTTAACTGTAAAATAATTTTGATATCACGATAATATATTAATAATTTTTTATTAAAGTCTTAGTTTATTTGCTAATACGAATGTGTCGAACTCATTACAGTAATCTGCTTTGAATTGTTCCTTCTTTTGGATCTGTGAATGGGGTGAACGTTTGCTTGACGACTTAATTTTTGATAAACATCACGTAATAATACGCTACGTTGAATCGATAAAACATTGCTAGTGAAAGATATTGATAAATTTGCTGACGAACGGATTATTTCTTGTAAGAAAAACGTGATTGATAACAGCTGACCATTTGTTAATTTTATTGCAATAGATAAATATTTTCTATATCATTTAAAATTATTATAGAAGCTCTCCCAATTGACACTCCCAATTTTACAATTGCGAAAAAAATTCGGGCTTAAATCTAATTGGCTTTTGCACAAATGGACAGTACATGAAGGTCGAAAAGATTCCACTTGCGATATTTGTGAGAAGAAATTTAAACAGAAAATTAGTTTGCTTATCCACCAAAAGACAGTCCATCAAGGTCAAAAAAATTTCGTACGTGACAAGTGTGAGAAAAAATTTACACAAAAACAAAATTTGCTTACCCGGTCAAAAAACAGTGCACGAGAGTCGCAAAGATTACTCATGCAACAAATGCGCGAAGAAATTTAGAGAAAAAAAGAAGATGCTTTTGCATCAAATGACAGTACACGAAGGTCGAAAAAATTACGCTTGTGACAAATATGAGAAAAAATTTGGAGCTAAGTCGAGTTTGTTCAAACACCAATTGACAGTCCACAAATATCATTAAGATTTTGCATCCGAAATAACCGAGGAGAAATTTCGGGATGTTATCAATTTGATCAAAAAACCGTCCTTGAAAAAAGTTTTTATGGATAAATCATTGTTTATACGACTGAGTCGAGCTTATTGCAATCATATGCTCTGGATCGTTTCCAGGGAATAGCGTGCACCTCATGAGTGAAACAATTAAAATCTTTGATTTTTTTCTTGACGATTGTAAATATACATATTGATATTTGTTAATATTTTTCTAAAATTTCAATAAAAATGGGCCGATGCGCTTGTGTCTTACCTAAACCTCGTGCTATTATTGCATCATTACACCTTCGCTCATTATTGTTGTTAGCGCTTTATATTTAATCAGATGATTGCTAATTACTTACTCTCCGTCCATTTTTTGGATTTTTTTATAAGCGTCAGGTAATGCTACGGCACCCTGAATTAAACACCCACGCGCTGTCGAAAGATTCTGATAAATTTGCAGACAAACGCCTGTTATTTCTGCCAAGAAATATGTGATCTGTAGTAGCAATGATTCTTTACTGAAAAATTGAAAGTGGAAGCCATTTAATTAGTTAATTTGAACCAATAAGTGTTTCCAACATTTTTTAAAATTATTAGCATCTATCCTAATTTTATTAATCCTTAATCTTCATTTAAGGGGACAAGATGGTGTTTTAAGCCGATACTTAAAAATGGCCATATAAATCGAAGTGATTAAAACATTTTTTTAATAGTAAAATGTATTTATACTATCCCCGATTGATCAAAATGTCTGGAATCAGTGAAACCCCGGCGTGAAATGACTGAGCCAATTCAGCAGACTCGGTAAATTCGAATCGACGACGTTGAGATTTGTAGCGAGAACTCGAGAAGCAATTTCACGATCTGCGCTTGCTCGTACCAGGCTGCTACGCATGCCGCTTGTACGAGCTAAGATTTACGTCAGTGCAGCTTTAGATGCAAGCTTCGAAGTCGCCGAACTGACAGGCCACCTGTAAATAAGTGTAGTCGATCGAATCGCTGTGATTTTCACCTTCGCATTCACTCAAATACACATTAATGACTTGTGTGTACAATCTTTCTGACAAACAACTTTTTGACAAGGGAACGTAAGTGTAAAAAGCGGCAATGATATAGTTGAACACCCAGGGTTCAGGTAATGCACAATCATTTCAGCACAATTTTTTTTGAAATTTAAGAAAATAGTACAGTAGCCGCCGCTTAATAGAATCACACTGGGAAAACATTTTTTATTCTATTAAGCGGCTGATTCTATTATCCAATGGGCTGCGCCAGCGTGATAACCATCCATCGGTAGCCTTAAAATTTTTCTTACCCAACTTCTCCGCCAAAGTTTCAGCTTTGATTTTTAATAATGGGCCATTTATTGGAGCCTTTTTTTCTCTCTTTTTCCACAAACCATTTTTTTAAGACTTTTTCTACATCTTCATCTTTACCAGATCTTTTCCTTTTATCGGCTGTTGAGCCATCTCTTTGATAATTATAGAGAAATTAGAAGAATATATATTAAAATTAGAATCTGATTTTGAATTTAATTTCATCTTTACTTAACTTTTAGCAATTTTAATGCATTTTAACAAGCTCACTGATACGATGATCAAACGCACTTCTGTTTTTTTACGTAATAGACGATTTGTTCCAATTGTATCTGACAATTTTTGAATCATCAACCTAAATGAGAAAAAAAGTATTTCAACATATGATTAATTCAGTTTGATGTACACGGATTTGTAAGAACGGACTCTAAATATTCGAACTTTCCCATCACAAAGAAGCTCGAGATCACGAATAAATTTCCCAAACTTGTTATTGAAAATAATAATACACCGAAACTAATAAACGAATAAATCAAATAATAATAAAAGTACTCGTCTTCGTCTAAAAATAATTCCATATGAATAAACAGGAATTTTTGATATGTTTTATTTCCTGGTAAAATAGTGTTTGCTATTCTTGGCCATGTAATGGGAAGAATGATTATAACCATTAGATGAGATCCCACGACAACTCCTAAAATTTAAAATACAGTATTATTAAAATGTTTGATAGATT